CACACCACGATCCACTGGACTCTGGAAATCACCCCTGTTCTCCATAATCCTTCTTCTCAAATCCATCTGCTATACCTTCCAGAACTCATGATCTGTTATGAAACTGTATGGAGTTTCCTTTCACCTTAGTGCTCTGAAATCTAGGGACCCCCTTACTATTCTTTTTCCCTTGAAGTCTTCTCTAGTCTGGATGCTGTATCTACTACATTGCATATATATATCCCAGGGTGAGGCAATTGTCCTTTTAGTTCTCATTGATACTTTCACTTCATCCTTCCTTTCCATTTTGAAAACAACTAGTATTCTTGTTTACTTGAAACATATACAATCAGATGATAGGCCCAACCATAGTAGTTGCCACATTTATATACAGACCTCTGGGCTCAATGTCTCGTCCCTACTAATATTTGTACCATTGTTCTTAGCAAATTCATCACCCACACTATCTACCTTGGCTCAGTGCTTGACTTCCGAACCCCATGGTCTTGTCGTTCATCCCTCTCCAACCAACTATATCCAAAGTTATATACTAACCCTTATCATAAGTTGGCCCAATGATGACTCCACCTTTGAAATCTCAGTTTCAAGTGTTCATTCTCAGAAATCCTACTCACTTCCTCAGCTATCCCTCTCCAGCAATTCATTATTTAAGGCCACTAAACGTCTCCCCTCCACTGACTCAGTACAGATGCATGGTCTATGTCTTATATAACTTTTGAGTCCCTTTTGTACCTCCTTCTATCACACATGCCAGGAAAAATCCCAACCCTGGTTAAATCCACTTCCTTACCTACACTGCACCTGCAGCAGAACGGGAGAAAAACATATAACTGTGCTGACTGATCTCCCTTCAAATTTATAACCATGTGGCGCTGTGGGTTAATGCGCCAGACTGCAAAGTCGTGTGAACTGCAAGGTTGGCGGTTCAAGCTCACCAGCTACTCCTCGGAAAGCCTATACAGGGTCGTGATGGGTCGGAATGAACTCAATGGTGCATAATAACAAGCACTACCTCAAGTGAGTTGTTGGCACTGGTTGGTACGGATTCCACTTTCCCAGTTAATCCATTCTTCCTCTCTCTGAGATGTCTATTTCATATTTTCCTTCATTCTCTTCAAATCTTCAAGCCCATTTTTCTACCACAAAGTCTGCTGATGACCTAGTTTTACACTTTGCTGAGAGACAGATACAATTTCTCCTCTCTCATTCTGAAAAGACTATGTTCCTGCAATCACCCTCTTTGTTATCTTATTGGCTTATCCATCTTTACTTTATCATTCAAACGTGCTGTAAAATCTCTAACAGGTTGTTTTTTTTTTAAGCTCCCTTGACCCTACATCGCCCACTAACAACCAACCCACCGTCTTCCAGTTCCATTTTACCACAAAACACCTTAATAGAGCTTTCCCATTTCTGTTATTTGCATTATCCTTCTTTTTCTTATTACTCCAGGCTAGAAATCCCTGAATTAACTTTAGACATTTTCATCGTTCCTTTAAATGCCGCCATAGACTCTTCCTTCAAAATGGTGTCTATCCATCTCTTCCTCTCTGTTCCCCCCTGAGACAATCCCAGCCTAATCTAAATAAGGTAGCTCTAATGAGTCGGAACCAACTCCATGGCACATAACAACAACAATAGAGCCTCTGGAATCCTGGTGTGGCGCTGTGGGTTAATGCGCCAGATTGCAAAGCTGTTTGAACTGCAAGGTCAGCGGTTCAAGCTCACCAGCTACTCCTCAGAAACCCTGTACAGGGTCGCTATGGGTAGGAATTGACTCAACGGCACTTAACAACAACAACAACAAAGAGCCTCTGGACTGTCATTCTGCACCCCCACTCTGCACACTCTATAACACCAGTCTTTTGAATGTTAATTTCACCATGCTCTCCTCTCTGCTCCAACACCTACAAGGATTTCTGAAATTTACATAATCAGGTTTTAGCTCCCTGCATGATGCTTAAGATATTTCAGAGTCTGGTCCCCATCCTCCCTGTCTATCTTCCTTTCCTAATACTTATCAAGCAAAGTCATAGGTAGCAGAGTGGATTATGGGCTGGGCTGTTAACTGCAAAGTCAGCAGTTTGATTCCACCAGCTGCTCCAAAGGAGAAAGATGAAGCTTTCTGCTCTCATAAAGACTGATCCAGACTTGAAAGCACACTACAGCGGCAGCATCAAACAAGTTCGGCAGTTCAAATCCACCAGCTGCAAACCGGAAATTATAAAGGGTGGCTACAAGTCAGACCCAACTCAACAGTACTATAAAACAACAACAACATCACCAAAAAAATTCTGCCTTTGTGATGCAGTTTCACAAATGTCTTATATTTAAGTCACACGAATTCTTATTTCAACATTTTTTTTTTCTTTTGTACATGTTGTTCGTATTCCTGAACTTTACTTCCTTGGCTTTAGCCTCCACTGTCCAAAATGTAAATTGTTCAGACTCTACCTCCTCCATGAAACCTTATTACACAATTCCAGGTTACACTTTGAGTTCCTAGAGCAATCCAACTCTACATCACTATTTATGACTTAATTACTCAATAGTACTATACCATCACTAATTCTTTCACATT